GAATGACTAATAGTTAATTAAATTATGTTAAAATTTTACCGTTTAGATAAAAAAAAGAATTCGCCTAAAGAGAAGCGCCATGTGATTAAATAAAAGGGAAACCAATCTAAAAACAACCTATCCTAATTAGGTATCCCGTAGCTCGAGCATGGTTTCCGAACTAGGTCAATTAAGGCTGCCTAGATAAAAAAAAGAATTCGCCTAAAGAGAAGCGCCATGTGATTAAATAAAAGGGAAACCAATCTAAAAACAACCTATCCTAATTAGGTATCCCGTAGCTCGAGCATGGTTTCCGAACTAGGTCAATTAAGGCTGCCTGGTACCATTCTGAGTCCTCRTCAAATGGCCCTGGAATTTCTGAGGCGATGAAGTCGTTATCGTAGAGCGCGCACGATGTTCCGCAGTCCCMGGAATTTCTGACGCTATGTGCTCATCATCGTAAAATAAATGGTGTTCCCTGGTCCAAGCGCACTCCCCAGGAACGAAGGTATAGTGCGTAAAYGGAAAATGGACGTGACCGTCTTTAGGAGCGGGTTTAAACGGCTCGTCCGTGTTATAAGGCAAAAGGTGAGTGCGACAAAAAGGGCACTCATATCGTTGTGGCAGGTACGAATTTCTAAAATGCCTGAGCTAAACATTACTCGTGGATGTATTTGCCCGAATCCTGTGTCACGCAACAGGGCATCACCACTGTTGGTGCCTTGACGTCAAAATCGGCGCAAGTACATCTACGCTCATGATGAGCGATCAAGCGTTCACGATCTCTACYAAGGGTTCTTTTTGATTTGGTTTTGCGCTTCCTACATCGTTTCTTATGTTTCAGGGGACTGTCCATCTAGAAATAGAAACGGATAGAGCTCCGATTAATAGCATGGCCTTTTGACAACAAAACAAAAAGAAAAACAAGGTTTAAGCGAMATTTTAGCTACAAGTGAAAAAAAATTAATGGATTTTAACAAATTTTAACAAAAAACTACAATTTTAGCGATTTCACAGGTATAACGTTTCATGAGACATAAAGCAATCAAAAAAAACTTACATACTACTAAATGCAATTACTCATATCCTTCGCTGACTCGACCGAGTCAAAAATAAAAGCCAAAAGACTTACCCGGTTCTGCACCACTGTTAGCGGGGGTTTACTCAAGTAGAAGCAGGTATCAGTTCTTGTGTCTTTATTGGTGCTATTTGCAACTGTAATGGGGCTTGACTTACTAACCAAGGAGACCAAATGTAGAGCTTACTAGGATCTTTATTCGTCGTTATTAAGACTCAAGTTACAAATATACAAGTGTGTTGAATGTAGGAAAGGGTGCCTTTTTATAAGGACAACCCAGTCAAACTAGTTATTCYGAATGTCGTCATAATTATATGGAATATTTATTATCTGGTCATAACGTGACCTATTGACTCGTGATCTTCTTGTTCAAAAGAAACTATTTGTAAACCRGATTAACTGACAAAGCGTCGATGACAAAGACTTAAGTAGTGGTTTTCACACAAACTGAGTAATAAGAATATAAGTCTTATTCAGTAAAAGATAGGTAAATTCTGACTCAAAGTTCGTAGTCAAACAAAACTTAATTGGTGACGCTTATTAGATATTCCAGATAGAAAAGTTCTACTGCTCATGCGTTAATCACTGGTCAAAAACTGGTTTTTGACGACAGCTGAACTACAGAGTAGGATTTCTCATCCTGTACAAATAGTATTCAATTACGCGTGTTGGACAGAGGTGTTGCAGAATGTCAACAGATAACGTACCATAGAAATAGTAATTAAGGTCTTACTGAAAACATGACGTTGCTATGACAACTTGAGTAATTAGAGTTCACTTGAGTCGAAATATGAGATAACTAGAAATAGCCTCGCTACAATACCCTCTCTTTTAAAGTTCGAGCTCCTGCGAGAAGTATTGAAGGCAGAAAAAGATCCAAATAGTTCTAAAGATATTTTGCTTCACCGTAAACCCTTAAGAATAAATGCGATTAAATAAGTGGAAACTCTAAATACAGAGTTACCGTAAAAATACGAGTAAATGTTTTGAATAAATAGAAGTAACTGGAATAGGTAATCAATTTCAAGCAATCAAAGTGAATTGAAAATTCGAAAAARAGAAACCGTTTCTCAGCGTAAAATTGAGTAAATACTGTAGTTAATTTTTTTGTAAGTTACTTTTTGAAAATTTTGTACTTTTTGTAAATATTTTGTTCCCAACACCGAAATAATAAGGTAAATCCGAGAAAAACCCTAAACGTGAATAAATTGATTACATAATACCAATACCGTAAATACCAAGATGACCAATCACTCCGTTATTGCGTCATTCTTCGTGCTAAGCTTTCTTTTTTTTGTATTATGTTTTTAAGGGTTGTTTTTTCTACACAGAATATTTTTATCACTCAAATCATTTCATACGTCACCCTAGCATCCTAAGTCAAAAGTCAGTAACAGCGAGCGTACGATACATGGTACAACAATCACGCAAAACAAAAATAACGTTACAAGAAACTAAACGTTAGAGGGGAAAGGCCCCAACAGAGCGAAGCCCTGCCGACGGGCAACGCGGCGTGCTCGAGCCCATCGTTGCTCGGGCAGGGGACAGTAGTTCAATGTTCTAAACAGAACGGGCCATGAACCCTCAGTGCCATCCGGGGTTGGAAGTGGCACGTTTGTCGGGAGGATGGGCCTCCCACACCCATGTTCGGGGCATTCCCGACACAAATGTTCTAACAAACAGGGTTCATGAACCCGGCTGCCACAGCAGGTTAGGGTGGCCGGTGTGTGTGGCATTTCCGCGAAGACAATTTTATTACAGACAATACATGGTTCTAGTGGGGTTGACATGACGATATTAAGCTGTGAAATCGAAAGAAGCAAACCAAACATTACTATGAAAGAAAAACGATTACAGTTTAAGTGTGGCAATTTGACTGGCGCAACCAATGGGCATTTACATCAAGTRACGACTGTCGGCTTGCAGCGACTTATAACAACTGCTTTCGCGGCAACTGATAACTGAACTACTTACAAGCGAGTATCTAGCTTTTATGGATATCTTTGTGATATCACGCAAAACAAAAATAACGTCACAAGAAAACTAAACGTTGGAGGGGAAAGGCCCCAACAGAGCGAAGCCCTGCCGACGGGCAACGCGGCGAGCTCGAGCCCATCGTTGCTCGGGCAGAGGAGAGTAGTGTACTGCTCTTAACAGAACCGGCCAGGAGCCCTCAGTGCCATCCGGGGGCGGAAGTGGCACGTTTGTCGGGAGGATGGGCCTCCCACACCCATGTTCTAGCAAGCAGGGTTCGTGAACCCTGCTGCCACAGCAGGTGAGGGTGGCCGGCGTGTGCGGCATTTCCGTGAAAATAATTTTGTTACATACAATGCACGGTTCGATTGGAGTCGACATGATGATATTAAGCTGTAAAATCGAAAGAAGCAAACCAAACATTACTATGAAAGAAAAACGATTACATTTTTATGGATATCTTTGTGAGTGGGTTGTTTAGTTAGGTGGACGAGTGCACGAGGTTGGTGAAATTAAAGTTAAACTTATTAATATAATAATAATAATAATGTGCTATTTATGTAGCGCAAATATCCATAAGTTCATATGCGCTTTACAGTAATAAGAATTGAATAACAATAAAACTTAAAAAAAAAACAGTAAAAAAGTAAACAATATAACAATAATAATGACATTGACTTCAATACTAATACTTTTTTTAATACTTTTTTAACATTTCAACATACACGTATTTAGAATATATAAATATAAAAAACAAATCTTAATTTTATAACTTATAAAATACTTAAAAGGAAGTTAATATGCCTGTAGAAAAAGCCAGGTCTTTAAAGCTTTTTTAAAATTTGATAAACAAGAGCTAGATCTGATATCACTTGGTAGTGAGTTCCAACTTAGGACATTGTCCAGGAAGCTGTGTAAATGACGTTTGGAAGGCCAAAACGTGTTTATGTATTTTACGTTAATTATTCAAGGGCGTAAGCACTCGGAGTTAAGCAACAACTCACTTACTTGTGTAAAATGAGATCTATTGGGTTGGGGTGACTTGAGCTACTGTAAAATGAGATCTTTTGGGTTGGGGTGACTTGAGCTACACGCCTGTAGCTGTACAAGAGATACTCCGTGTACAACGTCAGGTTAGGCACAAACTCTCTTTATTGCTGGTACTTGTATCAAGGTTCTTTACATCTATATCTTTGAGTTAACTGAGCGAGCGAGCCTGAAAGACTCTCAGTACTATCAGTGTCTCTGAGTGTGTGAGCGTGCGTCCTGAACTAGGATAACTGATCCTATTTATACTGTTCCATGTATCCGAATATGTTAAGATTTCATTTACATAACAAGGCGTTTGGCCATAAGTCAAAATCCTAAGAAATATGTTCTTAACTGAAAGACTAACATTTGTTATCGTACATAGATCGATACTTAAGAACTAGTCCTATTATTGTGTTATTTTACTGATACTGACGAGCAGTATTTATGTTATATAAACCTATTTTCCTTGATAAAACTTTTACTTCATTAAAACTGTAAACATGATGCTTGATCAATAATTTACGATATTTGTCCAGATCTATATCGTTCGTACCAGGAAATGGCAAGGAAAAGCCAAGCGTAGGAGGTGTGCCAAAGAAGCGTATCCGAGATAAACAAAATGTATTTCCAATTTCATATAGTTATAATCGTACTAGCTCGATAGCTAGTCGATACCAAATACGATAATTTTAAATGTAATATTTAGCAATATTACAGTGCCCCCTCGCTAGACTGACGAACTCCCGTGAGTCCTATGAGATGTAAGTATGGACAAAGTCATTAAATGAATCGTTATTTCGAGTATAAGGTTGTAGAGTTGTGCCTAAAATTTTACCATATAAATCCCTCTAAATATTTGATTACAATTTGTTTGTATATAATTCGCATGCAAGATATATTGTA